GCTTCTTCCCACTCCGCCGCCGGACATGTCCGCGCCCGCCGGACGCGTCCAGCCTCCACCTCACGCTATCCAATCAGAAGCCGCCACATCGACCCACCGCCACTCTCCTCCAACCACAGCGCGCCATGTCAGCGCCCGCGCCGCCCCACTTCGCCGTCGGCCCGCGGAGCCCATCCGGGGCCCGCACGGGCCCAGTTTCGCCGCCGCCGCACAGGAGCGCCCGGCTCCCCTTCGCCTTGCCGGATCGGCGCGCCGCCGCCGCCCCTTTGCCGGCCATCGCCGGAGCTTCGCCCAGCCGGTTAGCCAGGTCACCAGCGCCGCCATCCTCTTCCTCTCTGCTTCTCTCTCTCATGAGCGTCCTCTCTCTGTTCTCCCCAGGGGTCCTCGCCGGAGTCCCATGCCTTGTGCTTGTCGCCGGAGTGGACGGGTCTCGCCGGAGCTGCCGCCCTCTCGTTGAACCTGGCCTCCCCGTCGTCCTTGGGCGTCCTCCGCCCCAGATCCGGTTGCCCCGCCGCCGATCTACCCGTTTCCAGCGCCTCCCGCGCGCCCCCGGCCTTCGCAGCCCTCGCCGGAGTCCCTGTACCGCCGCGCCGCTGCCATGGCCGTCCTCGGCTTCGAGCTCAGGAGGAGCACGACGGGGCTCTCGCTCACCTGTGCCTCGTGGGCCGGCCCATCTCTCCAGCTTCCCCGGCCCAACTCCAGATCCGCGCCGCCCTTCCGGCCTGCCTCCTCTTCCTTCACGGGCCGCAGCCCAGGGGTGAGACACCCCCAGCGCCCCGCATCTTTTTTTTCCTTCCTGCTGTTGGGCTAGTCCATTTCGGCCCGTGATGTTTTTTTTCAGCGCCTGGGATTTTTCCTAATTATTCTAGAGATTGCCAGTTTTGCAGAATAGTCCCCCTAGTTCATGCATTTAATAACTCACTAACCGTGCATCGGATTAAAATGATTTATATATGAAACTTGTTCAGAATTTTGTGTAGATTAATAATATCCAACTTTCGTCCATGTTTAAAATATTTAAAATGTTGTTTACATTAATTTGCTCCTACATCATGCTAAAATGGTTTAATTCATAACTAAATAACCATAACTCGGAATTTAATAAATTTTATATGTAATTGGGGTAGAATTTTGTCTAGTTTATCATGGTGCACTCATCTTGCATGCTTAACAACTCTAAAATTATGTTTAGGGCAGAAAAGTACCAAACCTAATTTATGCTCATGCGGAGTTTCCGGATTTGTTGTTCGTTGCTCCCGGCCTCATTTAAACTTGCCTAGATAGGTAGTTTTGTTGTGCTTCACCCTCTTGCCATGTTTAACAACATTTAATATTGTTGGGTACATAAACAGGATCAAACTAAATAACTTATCGTGGTGTTCCGTCAATATGCAACTCGTTGCATATTTGGGCTCCACTTAATTTGTAGGATTGTTTGTGCACTTTGCCATGCCATGCATACTTAAACCGGACATGCATCATACTTGATTGTGCATCATGCCATGATTATGTGTTGGTTGTTTACTATGTTGTTTGCTTCTTTCTGGTGTTTGCTTCTTTGGGTTGGTTCCGGTCACGTCGTGTTTGTGAGGACCCGTTCGTCTTCGTCCGTGTGTCTTCTTCATGGACTCGTTCTTCTTCCTTGCGGGATCTCAGGCAAGATGACCATACCCTCGAAATCACTTCTATCTTTGCTTGCTAGATGCTCGCTCTTTTGCTATGCCTATGTTGTGATACCTACCACTTGCTTATCATGCCTCCTACTTTGTTGAACCAAGCCCCTAACCCACCTTGTCCTAGCAAACCGTTGTTTGGCTATGTTACCGCTTTGCTCAGCCCCTCTTATAGCGTTATTAGTTGCAAGTGAAGATTGAAGTTTGTTCCTTGTTGGAACATGGAGATCGTTCCTTGTTGGAACATATTTACTTGTTGGGATATCACAATATATCTTACTTAATTAATGCATCTATATACTTGGTAAAGGGTGAAAGGCTCGGCCTTATGCCTGGTGTTTTGTTCCACTCTTGCCGCCCTAGTTTCCGTCATATCGGTGTTATGTTCCCGGATTTTACGTTCCTTACACGGTTGGGTAATAATGGGAACCCCTTGACAGTTCGTCTTAAGTAAAGCTCCTCCAGCAATGCCCAACCTTGGTTTTACCATTTGCCTCACCACCACCTACTTTTCCCTTGGGAGTCGCTCTCTCGAGGGTCATCTTTATTTTAACCCCCCCGGGCCAGTGCTTGTCTAAGTGTTGGTCCGAAATGGGCAGCCTGCGGGGCCACCTCGGGGAAACTTGAGGGCTGGTTTTACTCGTAGCTTGACCTATCCGGTGTTGCCCTGAGAACGAGATATGTGCAGCTCCCATCAGGATGTCGGCGCATCGGGCGGTGTTACTGGTTTAGTTTTACCCTGTCGAAATGTCTTGTTGTACCGGGATACCGAGTCTGATCGGAACGTCTCGGGAGGAGGTCTATTCCTTCATTGACCGTGAGAGCTTGTCATGGGCTAAGTTGGGACACCCCTGCAGGGATTTGAACTTTCGAAAGCCGTGCCCGCGGTTATGGGCAGATGGGAATTTGTTAACGTCCGGTTGTAGAAAACCTGAATTTGACCTTAATTAAAATGAATCAACAGCGTGTGTTACCGTGATGGTCTCTTTCCAGCGGAGTCCGGGAAGTGAACACGGTGTTGGAGTTATGCTTGACGTAGGTTGTTATAGGATCACTTCTTGATCATACTTTTATCGACCGTGCTTTGCCTTCTCTTCTCGCTATGTTTTGCGAATAGGTTAGCCACCATATATGCTGGTCGCTTGCTGCAGCTCCATCTCATACCTTTACCTTCCTATAAGCTTAAATAGTCTTGATCGCGAGGGTGCGAGATTGCTGAGTCCCCGTGGCTCATAGATACTTCCAAAACCAGCTTGCAGGTGCCGATGAGTCCGCGCAGATGACGCAACCAAGCTCAGGAGGAGCTCGTTGAAGATCTTGTCCTTTGTGTTGTTTCGTTCTAGTTGATCAGTAGTGGAGCCCAGTTGGGGTCGATCGGGGGCCTTTGTCGCATTTGGGGTTCTTCTTTTATTTTGGTTCCGTAGTCGGACCTTGATTGTATCTGGTTGATGTAATGCTTTATTCATATAATTGTGTGAAGTGGCGAGTGTAAGCCAATTATGTATCCCTTTCCCTTATGTATTACATGGGTTGTGTGAAGATTACCTCACTTGCGACATATGCCTTCAATGCGATTATGCCTCTAAGTCGTGCCTCGACACGTGGGAGATATAGTCGCATCGAGGGCGTTACAGATGATGAACCTCTTTGTGATCGTGTTCCCCTCCGACAGAGTGCCGGAATCGGGCTCTAGATTGGATCTCGTGGTTCTGGAACTTGCGGCGGCTAAAATTATGTTTCGTCGACTCCCTTAGGATTTCTGAAATATTTAGGTATTTATAAAGCCAAGAGGCGGTGGAGGAGACCCCCATGGGCCTCACAACCCATCAGGGCACGCCAGGGGCCTCTAGCGCGCCCTGGTGTCTTGTGGGCCCCACGGGCCTCCCCTTTGGTGCTTCCTTGGCTCCCAAGTTGTCTTCTGTCCAAAAAAAAATCTCTAAAAAGTTTCGCTGCGTTTGGACTCCGTTTGATAGGAATATTCTGCGAAGTAAAAAAACAAACAAAAAAACAGCAACTGATACTGGACACTATGTCAGTAGGTTAGTTCCCCAAAAGATATAAAGTTGCTATAAAATGATTGCAAAACATCAAAAATGATAATGTAACAACATGAAATGAAAAAAATTATAAATATGTTGGAGACATATCAGGAACGCGCTCCAGAACAATGCTCTATATGACCATACACTTTTGGCGGCTCAGATCCATATGAAGACCTTGATAGAATGTTATTATCACATTTCAAAATAATAATAATAACAATAACAATGATAATAGTAATAATAAAAATCGAGTTTACTTTTGATGGAATGGATTGAGCGGAAGTGTCCTTCTGCTCTCAGGTGCATGTGCACTCACGGTAATAGTAAAGTAAGATTTTTCTTTAAGGAAATGTGATATTTTTTGTAAGAAACATCATTTCTTTTACGAGGATTGTAACAAACATCGTTGAATGTCTCACATTCGTGCAAAGTTTCGTGATGGAATGAAATACATGGAGGATTGGTGAGAAAAGAACATTGCTTCAAAATATTTTCACAAATAGAAATTTTGGAGCTTTGATTTTGCTTTTTTTAATCTAGAGCACTGATCATATTTTTTTATCACAAACTTTGCACACATGTGAAACAATCGATAATGTTTGTACAGAAAAGTTCAGTTTTTTTCTTGCCTGTTTTTTTTTCGTATTTTACTGTTCATACGGGTGCATATGCACCCTGGACTAGACACTCCACATACAGGTCATATTTGTATGGTCATATTCTTTTGACGATGTTACTAGATGTGTGGACCTTTTATGTCAGTTGGTAGATGGGTCTTCGCTTCAATGACAAGCCCGTGTGTAGGTGACACGTGTCATGTGGTCCACCGTGTCGTCGATACATGTAGGGCTTCAGTACATTAAAACGAGAAATTGCTACTGAGATGGATATGGATTATCTATGCTCGAACTCTGATACACTCACATGAACAGTAAATCTGAAAAATAGTAAAAACAGTTAAAAAAATCTAAATACTTTTATGTCAACGTATGTTCTAACATCCTTTCGGAGCACTTATTTTCTGTTTTTCGACACAGACCACTATGCATGTTTTTTGGTGGCGAAATTTTGTAGGATGGCAGAGATGTTCATAAAAGGAAAACTCATTTTTTTATATTTTTGTTACTGTACAGTTGTTTCGGAATTTTGTGCATTTGTGCGGGTATTTGAGTGACACTTCCGAGTGTACGCAACCTTCCAACGCTGTAGTAGGCAGGGCGGTTGGTGGTGCGAAAGCTCCGTCCAAATCCGAACCTCCTCCAGAGTCCAAACCCCAACCTAGGAAATGGAGGCGCTCGTGGTGCGGAAGCTCGGCGATCCCACGCTGCCTCCCGGCGGCGAGGACTCGCCGTTTGCGGCGGTCTCCGGTGACCGACCAATTCCGGAGCTGTCCTCGCCGACCTCCGTGCGGGTGCGCGTGGCGGCAACCAGCCTCAATTTTGCGACGTTCCTACAAGTGCAGGGCAAGTACCAGGAGCGCCCCCCGCTGCCCTACGTCCCGGGGTCCGACTACGCCGGCGTCGTCGACGCCGTCGGCCCCGGCGTGCGCAGATTCCGCCCCGGCGACCGCGTCTGCTCCCTCGCTAGCGTCGGGTCCTTCGCCGAGCTTGTCGTCGCCGACGAGAAGGCTCTGTGAGTTTGTTCTCCCTCTCCTGGTTGGCAATTTCTGTAGCTAGTTACTCTTTGTTAGCTTCCGGTTGTTTGATCCACACAGATATTTTCTTCTTAGATGGACGCTCGAAGTATTTTGGTTTAATGCGTTAGCATTTGGTGCGAATCAGATAGCATAGACTTAGCAAAGGACCAAATGTATCACAATCTATAGAAAAATCAGCTTAAACGAGGCAACTTTAAAATAGCAAAACCTTCTAGTTATTGCGGTGAGTTTTACTGTTAAATCGGTACCATTTTATGGTGTTCCAGATACGCAGTCCCTGATGGATGTGACCTCGTCGCTGCTGGAGCATTACCTGTTGCATTTGGTACATCACATTTGGCCCTTGCCCACAGAGCTCAACTAAAGGCTGGTCAGGTGGGCTCCCCATTTGCTTCCGACATTATTTATGTGCCATTCTATCTGATATCTATTGAACATTCTTTATATGCAATTCTATATGTACTCCCTCTGTAAAGAAATATAAGATAAACGATCTTATATTTATTTACAGCGGGAGTATATGATATGCACTGCACATTCTTTATGTGGCATTCTTAATTGGTCTTTTACTTGGAGATGCACTGAATTAAATTTTAACTGTGCATTTACACTGGTTCAAATTCTACTTGGATTACGAATTATAAACAATGGTGTATCTGAATATGAATTGAGTTGGGTAACACTCCAATTCCTAGGAAGTTTTTTTTTTCGAGAATGACGGGGGAGCGGAAGCCCCATCGGTTGTTATATTACTCGAAACGACGTGGTGTCATACAATGTTTTCCATCGAGGAGATAAAAAACAACAAGATAAAGAGGCAAAGAAACAAAAGAGAGAGAGAGAGGTAAACTAAGTGCCCGAGATAAGGAAGGAGCGGAACAGGAGGAGCTGTTCGCTCGATCCAGTCTCAAAACGTTTGGACCAAAGAAGCGCATCGTCGGCCGCGCGCCGGAGAACGTCGCCGGTCGTGCAGCTGATGGAGTTGAAGACCACATTGTTCCTGGCTTTCCACACGTCCCAAAGCAGCATGTAGAGGCCATCTCGCCAGGCAGAACCATTAATTTGCGGCGCGGGCGAAGTAGAGAGAATTTCACCCACGGAGAGAAAGGGGCCGAAGCCAAGTCTGGCCCAGACCGGTGCCACACGAGGACAGGCAGCGAAGAGATGGTCCGCCGTCTCCGCCGCATGGTAGGAGGCACAAGTCGATGAAGGAGCGCAGTCTTTGGCGTACAGATTAGCCCGAGTGCTAAGCCGATCGCCAACCAAAAGTCTTGCAAAGATCTTGATTTTTCCAGGGAGCCGAGAACCCCAGATGTCGATGGAGTCCTGATCGAGCACGCCGTGTGGTGACAGGACGCGGAAAGCAGCCCGCGAGCTGAAAGCAAGGTTGCCTCCCCACGCCATGAAGCGGCGGTCATGCACGGCCAGCAGACGAACATCCCGCAGGAGTGCGTGCACGGCTCCAAGCTGAACGCCCGCCACCGTGGAAAGCCTCGGCTGAAGCGCGGGGCCGTCCTCCATGACCGCAGCAACCGAGGCGTTGGGCCGCGTCGAGTGGGAGAAGAGCGCCTCGAAGGTGAAACAGAGCGCACCCCCTGGGAGCCACCGATCCTGCCAGAAGGAGGTAGTGCGCCCATCACCAAGCTGCACCCGAGTGATGGATCGGTAGATCGGTAGCGCTGCCTGGATGATCTTCTGGAGGAACGAAGGCGCCGAGCAGGGGTCCCCAACATCGCCCCTGACGTGACGGAGGAACCAGAGCTTCCAGGGCGGGGAGCCGGGCCGATGAAGAGCGTCGACGAAGTTGAGAAGGAGGCACATATTTTGTCTCCGGAGGTCGCGCATGCCGAGTCCGCCTTCCTGCACATCAACGCACACCTTGTCCCAAGCAATTAAACAACGAGCACCGGAGCAGGTATCCTTGCCGGTCCAAAAGAAAGCATGCCGCCGACGATCGATTGCCTCAAGCACTCCAGGGGGCAGCATATAGGAACACATGTAATAGGTGGCAAGGTTATTTAACACCGCATTGCAAAGGACAAGCCTACCGCCCGAGGAAATGAGAAGAGCGCGCCAACCGGACAAATTGCGGTCAAATGATCTGATGAGGGGGTCTGTTAGGAGCTAGGGTTCTGTTGGTTCTAGGGCGGAGATTGTAGGGGAAAGATGGAGGAAGATGAGGTCAAGGGCGCGGCGGCCGGCGGCTGGGCGCCGTCCTTGCGTGGTGGAGAAGAGGCGGCGGCGGCGCAAGAGGCGGCTAGGGTTAGGTCTCCCGGCTCCCTAAGGGAAGCCGAGCAAATACTGATTGCTTCTTGCTTGATTAGATTGATACATCTCCTCTCCTTATATAGAGAGGCTTACTTGACTCCTAAGCAAACGACCCTAATACCGATAAGATAACTGGGCTAAGCCCCTAATAACGATAAGATAACTTGGGCCACAGCCCACCTAATATGTCGGTCATAACACTTCTCCCCGCCTGCACAAACAGCTCGTCCTCGAGCTGTAAGGCGGGGAAGCGCTTACTGAACTCCTCGAGGTGATCAACCAGCATCAAACACCTCCGCGACAGCTGGGGCGGCCAGGTCGCTGAGCCCGGCGGCGACGGCGTCCTCCTCAATGTAGTCTGCAGCCTCCAGGTAGAAGAGTCGGGGGCAGACGTGGCCGGGCATGTAGGTCTCGTCGCAGTTGAAGCACAACCCTTGGCGGCGACGCTCGAGTAGCTCGGCCGAGGTGAACCGGCGGAACGGGCGCGCCGCGGTCGCGGCAAGGTGTGCTGCGGAAGCCTGAGCAGGCTGACCCTGCTCGGAAACATCCGGCCAGGGTGGCGGCCCAGCGGCCCGGGATGGTGATGCCTGCTGGATGGCCACCGCGCGGCGCTCGAACGCGCGGGCGTAGTACATGGCCGTCTGGAGGTCCTGGGGTCCCTGCAGCTCGACGTCCACGCGGATATGATCTGGCAGACCGCCGACGAAGAGTTCGGCCCGCTGGTGAGCCGTCACGGCGGACGCGTGGCACGCCAGGGCCTGAAAGCGGTCGATGTAGTCCTGCACCGTAGAGGTGAAGGGAAGGCGGCCCAACTCCGCCAGCCGGCTCCCACGTATCGATAGTCCGAAGCGAAGGAGGCAGAACTCGCGAAAACGCTCCCATGGGGGCATGCCGCCCTCGTCCTGCTCGAGGGTGTAGTACCACGTCTGTGCGGCGCCGCGGAGGTGATAAGAGGCGAGCCAGGTGCGGTCCGACGCGAGCGTCCGTTGCCCCCGGAAGAACTGCTCGCACTGGTTGAGCCAGTTGAGGGGGTCCTCGGCGCCGTCGTAGGTGGCGAAGGCGAGCTTGGCGAAGCGCGGCGGTGTCTGAGCATGACCGCCATGAGTGTACGGCTCGGCGGTACGGAGCAGCGAAGAGGATGGCATTGGTCCGATGTGCACAGGTGGTCCGCAGGAAAGCGGTGGCCCGTCGAAGCCAGCGTGGAAACCCGCGGAGCCGGAGGGCCCGTCGTACGACAGGGAGGGCGCCGGCTGGTCGACGGCCATGGTGTAGACTGGCGGTGGTGACGTCCCGGGCAACCAGGCCGGAAGCTGGGATGGCGAGGGCGGGAACTGCACTTGCTGAATCGGCACGCCCGCCGGCACGGTTGTAGTCAGCCCGGTGCTGGGTGGTGGAGGCGCCGGCAGCGGCAGCTGCTGCTGCCTGGAAACGGCGGAGGTGGCGGGTGCGGCGATGGCCGCGGCCGGCCATTGTGGCCAGATCGGGGCGGTGGCGGGGGCTGGCTGTAGCTGCAGCGGCCCGACCAGCGTCACGGTGGCCCCGGGGTGCGGCGGCTGCCAGGGCTGCCAGGGCGGTGGCGGCGACGACCCGGGTGGCGTGGGTGACGCGGCGAGGGCCGGCGCCGGCCACTGCGACCATTGGGGCGCGGCGGCAGGCGGCGGCTGAAGCGGCCAGTGGTGGTGTAGAGGCCCCGTCGGCGCCGCGGGTGCCGAATACCACGGCAGGGCGGCCGGCCCGGTCACGGCGGCCGGCGACCCGTAGGGGCCGGCTAGGTATAGTTGTATCCCCTGGACGGAGGTGACGAGATCGTTGAGGACCCCGGTGATCTCCACCGGGGAGTAGACGGCGGCCGATGGTGCGGTGGAGGGCGCCGTCATCTGGGTGGTGGCGGCGCCGGAGAATGCGACCAGCGGCACGGACGGGGAGGGCAGCGGCGCGGTGGAGAAGGCCAGCGGCGTGGTGGTGATGGTCGGCAGCGGAAGCGACGGGATGGGCGGCAGCGAAGACATGATCGGAACTGAGCTACCTGATACCAAGGTGTTAGGAGCTAGGGTTCTGTTGGTTCTAGGGCGGGGATTGTAGGGGAAAGATGGAGGAAGACGAGGTCAAGGGCGCGGCGGCCGGCGGCTGGGCGCCGTCCTTGCGTGGTGGAGAAGAGGCGGCGGCGGCACAAGAGGCGGCTAGGGTTAGGTCTCCCGGCTCCCTAAGGGAAGCCGAGCAAATACTGATTGCTTCTTGCTTGATTAGATTGATACATCTCCTCTCCTTATATAGAGAGGTTTACTTGACTCCTAAGCAAACGACCCTAATACCGATAAGATAACTGGGCTAAGCCCCTAATAACGATAAGATAACTTGGGCCACAGCCCACCTAATATGTCGGTCATAACAGGGTCATAGGCAGAGATGGGGAGTTTGAGAGGGGAGAGAGGGAGACCTAGGTAGGGTTGGGGGAAGGTGGAGATAGGACATCCGAGGATGGAGGCCATTTCGGTCGACAGCTCGGGGGCGCAATGCATGGGAATGGACCCGGACTTATGAAAGTTAATAGAAAGCCCTGTCGCGAGGGCAAAGGCATCGAGAGTTTGTTTAAGATGAGTGACGGAGGGAATGTCGGCTCGACAAAGGATAAGGGTATCGTCGGCGTACTGCAGGACGGGGCAAGGGAGGGAGGGGTCGATTGGGTGCACTAGTTGCCCGGAAGTGCTGGCCGCCCTCATGAGGCGCTGAAGGACATCGGCAACAATAATAAAGAGATAAGGGGATAGGGCATCGCCTTGGCGAAGGCCGTTCCGGCAAAGGATCCAATCCCGAGGAACATTGTTAAGAAGAACTGACGTGTGTCCGGTTGAGAGGATGGCATGGATCCATCCACACCAACGGTCGTCAAACCCCCGCGCGGACAAGATCGTGAGAAGGCTAGACCAGTTGACAGAGTCAAAAGCTTTGCGGAAGTCGATTTTAAACACCACAGTGGGGACCTTGCGCGCGTGGCAGGCATGGAGGAGGTCAGCGGCGTAAACGATGTTCTCCGAGATGCGCCTTCCGGGAAGGAACCCCGTCTGGTCCGGATCCACCAGGGAGTGGATGTGCTGCTGAAGGCGGGAGCAGAGGGCCCTTGTGATGGATTTCATGATGCAGTTTTGCAGCGAGATAGGCCGGAAGTCTGAGGGGGAGCGAGCCGCCTCAGTTTTTGGCAGGAGAACTAGGAAGGCACGGTTGATTCTAGTAAGATCGATAGTGTTGGCAAAGAAGTCGTGAAAAACAGCCTGCACATCAGCAGAAAGGACGTCCCAAAAGGAGACATAGAATGACGGTCCAAAACCGTCCGGCCCGGGGCTAGACAGACGGTTCATGTCGAAAAAGGCGCTTCGCACCTCGTCCGCGGTAAAGGGGGCTGAGAGGGAGTCGGAGAGAGGAGTTGTGTCGGGGTACAAGTCGGAGAGAGAGAAAGTCCAGGCACAAGGGGTCGTGGTGCCGAGAAGAGTTTTGTAGTAGTCCCGGAGGACGGTCGCCTTGCCCTCATGAGAAGTGATTTCGCGGCCCTCGAAGGAGAGGACAGGGATGCAGTTCCTACGGAAGCGAGCGGAAGCAGACGCATGAAAAAACCCAGTGTTTTCGTCACCGTCGATGGCATAGCGGCATTTCGCTCTAAGTTTCCAATAGGAGACACGCTCCTTAACAGAGGCATGCAGAGCTGCAACTGTGAGGGTACGAAGAAGGGCCTCAAGAGTAGAGAGGTGACGGATCTCCTCAATACGGTCAAGGATGTCAATGAGCACGCGGCAATCGTTCTCGCGCTGGGCAGCCGGCGCAACTCGTCTAGCCCAACGTTTACAACTGAGGCGACATTGACGAAGCCGTGCCACAAGATGGGCAGTGGCATCAGCCCGAAACGCAGATAGCCAAGTGGAACGAATGGAGTTTCGGAAGGACGGATGAAGCGTCCAAGAGTTCTCGAACCGGAAAATACGTGATCTGGGGGCCGCCGAGGAGATGCAAGCAAGCAGGGGGACGTGGTCAGAGGTGGAGCGTGTAAAAGATGAAAGTGTGGAGGTGGGGAAAGCAGAGTCCCAAACGGTGTTAACGAGAACACGGTCGAGGCGAGCAAGAGTCGGGGAGGTTTGCCGGCTAGACCACGTAAACTGACGATCACGGAGAGGAAGGTCGATGAGCGCGAGATCGTTAATGAAATCATTGAACCATTTAGCCTCCGAGCGAGAAAAGTTGTCGTTGCTACGGTCATCAGGCGACCTAATGAGATTAAAGTCTCCCAAGATTGTCCAGGGAACGGGGTTGTGAGGTGCATGGCCGGCCAACTCGGCGAGAAAGGCTTCTTTGGCGCCGTGGGCGCAGGGGGCATACATGTTGGTGATCCTAAGGGGAGAGCTATCTAGGCAGATAGAGAGGTCAACGGAGAGAGCATGAGAGGTGGCAAAGTGGTGGGAAAAGGAGAAGACATTAGCGTTCCAGGCCGAGCAAATCCCTCCCGACGCGCCGACTGAGTCGATGGAGAGAAAATTACGGAGAGAGGGAGGAAGGAACGAGTATTCCTAGGAAGTTGCAATATGTGGACTCTCAGATTTTGCTCGTACGTTAGTCCTAATCCTAGCTGTTGTAAGAGGCCAAAGTCATTTCTTGGTCTTCAACTTTGAAAGTCGTTCCCTTTAAGCCTTAAGTTTTTAAAGTTCCATTTGAAAGTTTTCAACTTCCATGGTTGGTCACTTTTAGGCCTCAAATTGACTGTAAATGGGGTGATGTGTTCTCTTCAAATGACTTTGTATTTTTGGTATCACTTTGTACAGACTATGTTATGGGATAAACAGTAATATCTGATGGCCTATGCAAAAGATCAATTTTGCTCACACGTTTTTTAGGGATTATTCCGTTTGAGCTCCAGATCCTCATTTTCCAGCTCCACGCTCCTGACTCTTCAAGGATCCACTTAACTAGGGATCTGCTCTAATTAATGATTCATGAAAGCTGTTAGATAGCAGGTCCGTTCCCAAAACATAAACAGTGTAGTTTGGAAGCAAACAGACCATACCGCCTCTAGTTGTTACACAAACATAGCAACTCTAGGATTGCAGCATTCCAGTGGGCAAAAATCGATTCAGCAACTAGATACACTTCTGAAAGTTCAATCATACATTCATCAACCAGATCATAACTGTACATGGTTACATTGCATTGTCTCGTATTGTGATGGCAATGGGAGAAGAGAAGTTGCACGGTGGTAGGAGATTTTTATTTCTTTTGCGGGGGAAAAGGCTGCGTACTATAGACCCAAAGTGGTCGGACCCTTCCCGGGACCCTGCGCAAGCGGGAGCTACATGCACCAGGTTGCCCTTTTTTTGCGGGGGAATTTTGCGTTCTAGTTGATGGAACTACTATATTGCCTACTGTTAATATGCACATATATAAAGACCTGCAGTGAAGGATGTTAATTGTATATGCAGGTTCTCTTAATATTTAGGGAACGATTATTTATTAAGCATGTATATACCCCAACAAATATAAAAAATAAGTACAGTATGCGTTATGCATTTATCTGCTGTACCCCCTAGGCTTTGGTGATTCTCACTAATCTAAGTTGTAATATCAGGTGCTACTTGTACTTGGTGCTGCCGGCGGTGTTGGGGTATCTGCTGTACAGATAGGAAAAGTATGCGGTGCTATTGTTATTGCAGTTGCCAGGTGATTAGCAGTTTAGCACAACAAATTAAATTCTTCAATCCTTGTTATGTATTCTGGGTCATAGGTTGTTGTTATGTTACTTCATATTTGACTAATTTTTCTGGTCCATAATATTATTCGTATTGAGTTCAGGGGAGTTGAGAAATTGCAGTATCTCAAGTCAATAGGAGCCGATCATGTGATTGACTCGAGCAAGGAGAATGTTATTGAAAGTGCCAAGTCCTTTTTAAAGGCTAGTGGTCTCAAAGGTGTCGATGTTTTATATGACCCTGTTGGTGGCAAGCTTACTCAAGATAGCTTGAAACTTCTCAATTGGGGTGCACATATTCTGCTCATTGGATTTGCTAGTGGGGATATTCCAGTTATTCGAGCTAACATTGCACTTATTAAGGTATACTGGTGTATTGAGACATGAAGGTTAAGGTCTTCTGCTTTATATGTAGAATTGACTCAATGTTGGCTTTCAGTACTTATCTTAATTGCTCTGTGTATTGGTCTTTTTACTGCATTGCTAGAATCAGAAGAGCCTACTACATGTACCTAGAATAGGCATTCGACATGACAAACTTTAGCTTGCTAAAGAAGAGACACACCACTCAAGTCTGTTGATTCCTGCAACATCATATTGAAACTAATTTGAGAATCCATCAGTCAGTACCATGGATGCAATCATACAAGTTCATATCAAAATCATAAATGCAAGATAATGCAATACGATCAATCAATGTGAAGTTGTATTTATTTCAGTAAGTTAGTTGATAGCACTAGAATATAAGATGGCAATATTCGGAATTCAGTATATTTAGACGTTACAGCACTAGAAAAGAACTTACGTAGTAAGGATACTGTGAATAGTGATAGAACTGCTTTCTGCAGAATACTACTAGCTAATGGTGGTGTGATGTTTCAGAACTGGACAATTCATGGTCTGTACTGGGGAAGCTACTTAACTCACCGGCCAGCAGTACTCATCGACTCACTTAACGAACTCCTGTCATGGCTTTCAAAGGGTTTGATAACAGTTAAACTTTCACACACCTACAGGCTCGCTGAGGTAAGCGACATTAATAAACTTCACAATAGTTGCAGCAGGCTGGAATTTCTCGTTTAGTCATTACATGACTACCTGTGGTGCTTGCCTCTGCATACCTTAACATATCCTCATGTCAGAATTTTATGGTGTCTAAGGGCGTTTTGTGAACTATGGTTGGGTAAATTGTAATTGCATTGTTTACACCATTTGACTGCCATGTCGCCTATCTATATTCATTACATTGCTATCATTTGGTGCTTACAAATTCATAGTATTTCTGTTTGTGTGCTAGGCTGCTGGAACTATCTAAGAGAACACCACTTCTCCGTGTCTATGCGTCAACATTAATGTTTTGTTTCTAACATAAAAATTTCTACCAGCATAATTTGACCTAACGTGGTGGTTTTCATCACTTTATTTCTGGTATAAATGTATATCAGGCCATCCTTAGCAGAAATGTAAGTGGTCGGTGGTCATGCTCTTATCAGAGTAGTAGTTATACTCGTATATCGAAGCTCTTAAATAGTTCTTGGATCAAATCCAAGATTGCATGTACCATCTTTCAATATGTGGAGATTTACCGTATAACTTTTGAAAATTTTACAGGCCCATCTCGCTTTTGCTGACTTGAGAGATAGGAAAGCGGTCGGTAAAGTGATGATCGTTATGGGCTCCTCAGCAAAATCAAGACTTTGATGGATGAGTTCCCTAGGGTACCGGTTAGTTCTTTTCAGCTCCTGATTCTGGAGAATCGGATTCTGAGAAACTACCCACGGAATTAGCTGTGTGTAGAATCTGTTGTCCAATTCTTTTCAGCTGTTGCAGTCTGAGATTGCTGTATAATTTGTGTGCTGAAAGCCGTCGGATTGTTCTATAAGTATGCCAGGCTACCATAAATTTCATACAGGAGGGTGGCTGAATAATCCTCTGGGTGAATAAAAGCTTTGGGTGCTATGTAAAGTTTCTGCAAATTCTCTTATCTATACCATCTATATAGTGTGCCAATAGCTTCAAATATTAGTCGTTGGATATGCCCATCCAACGGTCAAGAGATAGCAAATCCAAGCATTATCATCTGTTGGATAAAGTTTTCAACACATAGGATTTTGCCACATGGCCTTCCAATTGAACCCCCAACTCTACCATCTCATGTGTTCTAGAAGCATCTATCCACATGCTTATCTGATGCTAACAATCTGGAGGTAAGAACCAAGTTGGATCTTGTCCAATATGATTTTAGGAAAGAAAAAAATATATTCAAATGTATTTTTCTATGCTTTTTATGTATATTTAAATGACGTGCAAAGCACGAACAATTTGCTAGTGTTGATAACAGCATGATAGGTTACCGAGATACAGTACTAGCTACACGAGCATGAACCTGGGTGTGCGTGCACCCAAATTGAAAATAAAAATTAAGAAGTCAAATATTTTTGAAACATTTTGGCAACATACATGGTCTGGCATAATACTCATGTTTAAAATTTCAGGACAAAATGATTTATGCTGTATTCTATCATATTACATAGTCTGGCATAATACCTGGCCATCTCTCGGGCCGGGCTTCGGGCCAGGCCAAACAAAGCCCGACACAAAAAACCCAGGCCCGAGCTTGGCCCGGCCCGGTTGTCAGGCCTAAAAATTGGGCCCGAGCTTGGCCGATCATGCTAAAAGCCCGTCGGGCCTCGGGCCATGGGCCGGGCCTCTTCCTTAAATGGCACAAATGACAGGCCCGGGCCCGGCTCGGGCATCGGGCTCAAAACCTAGGCCCGAGCCCGGCTCGTGGACAAGGCCGGGCCGGGTCGGGTTTTTTCGGGTCGGGCTGCCCATGGCCAGGACTAGCTGGGGATACTACAATCCCTCTAATCATCCAACCACAGGTTGGTTCGCACGTCCAGACAAGTCTAGTAGCCTCTCGGACCTAGCCAAAGTAGCAGGCTAGAATAAAAGCAACTACAACTACAAAGAGTAGAAGAAAGGAAGGCTGCACCAGGCAGCAAGTGGTTTAGCAAAACATCCAGAGCCAGCAAGCGAACAAGGGGAAACCTAGGCTATTACAACAAGATGTCATCCTCGCGCAGGAACTGAGATCACCCGGAGTGCGCCTTGAGCATGAGGCCAGCCAGTCCCCCTTTCACTCCAGCCTTGGTCCTCCCTACCACGCGATGCGCAGCAGCTCGCCTCTCCGCCGGTCCAGCGGGAGGAGACAACGCCGTAGTAACACCGATTGGTCCCCTGTACATAAGATCTTCCACTGATATAGCAGAGCACAAGCTCTCCCCAAGATCACCCGTATACTTGTCCACGGCACGCCATGAAAACAGATATCGTTACATATGGTCCAAATGCTTCAAATGGTAGCAATACAGGCAATGTTAATAACAGTCTTTTTTATTATTAGCACCCCATAGTTCCGACAGGGTTGTCATGCATTGTGGATATCCAAAATCAAAAGATTCAGCAACAATTTTCCAAATCTCTTTTGCAACCACACACAAAAACAAAAACAAATGGTTCACAAATTCATTTTCACAAGAAAACAAATAGGTTTTGTCATTCATAGGACGTCTCTTGGCCATGTTATCTCTAGTAAGGATCTTATTATGGAAGGCTAACGATATAAATACCAGGTATCTATGTGGTACCAAAATTTTCCAGAAGTTCTTCCAAATAGGAGTAGAAACCCCACCCCAATTGATCATATTATATAAGGACTTAACAGAGTAAATCGCAGACGCCTCCAGCATCCAAATAGGGTGATCCTTTTCATCCCTAAGAATATTAGTAGAGAGCAGTTGAAGCAACTCCTGCCATCTGACCAGGAAGTGCACATCCACACACCACTCGAAAGTAAGTTTCAGGGTCACACCATCCCTTACTTGTGCTACAGTACATTCTTGCTGTTGGCAAATGTCATAAACCTCCCAGAATTGGGTTTTTAGACATGAGTCGCCAGCCCAAGTATCATGCCAAAAGCTAATACTATGTTCATTCCCTAGTTTTCATTTATAAAATGGTCTAGCTCCAGCAAACGCCCAGGTGACTCCTTTCTAGAAAGGGGACCCAACATCAGGATTGGCACAGAGCAACTTAGGCTTGTCAGTCTTGTATTTGTGATTAACTAAGTTTTTTCAGTCTTTGTCACCACCCAAGAAGAATCTTTTAGACCACGAGGCTAACAAAGCCATGCTAAATTCTTGTAGATTAACCACACCTAAACCACTAAAATCTTTTTTTGGGATACAAACCCCCAATTGGCCAGGTGATATTTATGATTATCACCCAAGTTCCCCCAGAAGAAGTGAGCCATTTGTGAAGTAATCGCCTTAATAGCCCATTTGGGAAATTTTATAACGGACATTAGGTACATTGGGATGCTAGCAATACAGGTTTGTAGCAACACCAGCTTAGCCTCATAACTGAGTAGCTTGCCTCTCCACCCACAAATTATTTTAATGATCTTATCAATAATGGGCCGAAGGTCCTCTCTCCTCAATTTTATATAGTGTAGTGGGACCCCGGGTATTTGAGAGGGAAAGACCCAATTTTGCAGCAAAAGATTTGCGATATCATTTTTTTACTTGTTTCATCTAAATTAATGGGGACCAACTCACATTTGTCATAGTTGATCTTTAACCCAGAAAGGTTCTCAAAGCAAGCTAGCAACCACTTGAGATTTTTGCATGATCAACGTCAGGATCTAAGAAGAGTACAATATCGTCGGCATATTTGTAAACTAATCATGCTATTAGGAATGATGTGAGGAATAATCCCCGAATTTTTTCCCCTAACGGCCTTGGCTAAAATTCTAGAGAAAACATCCGCAAATAGATTGAAAAGGATGGGATAGATGGGACCCCCCTGTTTCAATCCTTTGCCACCCACAAAATATGGGCCAATAGTATCATTAATCTTAATAGAAAAAGAGATGTTCTAGAGTATTGATAAGATCGAACTTATCCATTTAGTCCCAAAGCCTCGAGAAGTTAACATTTTGACCAAAAAGTCCCAATTAACTCTATCATACGCTTTCTCACAGTCCAATTTTAGGACAACCCTAGGCTTGCCTGTCTTGTGAAGCTCATGGATAGCTTCATGAGCAGTAACTGCGCTTTCTAAAATAAATCTGGCTCTAACAAAAGTAGAGTGACATGGAGAGAGCGATCTATTTCCAATAGGAGACACTCTGTTGCACATAGCTTTACTAAAAATCTTTATTGAGCAATTGCTAAAAAGATAGGTCTAAAATTCTTCATATGTCTACTATCTGGTTCTTTCATAATAAGAGTAACAGTAGATTAGCTGGGTCTTTGTATATCTAAAGCACCACATTCAAAGTCCCTTACCAAGGCCATAAAATCTTTTTTATCACTTCCTAGAAAGTTTGATAAAAAAGAAAGGACAAGCCATCAGGACCAGGAGCTCCATTAGCATAAGATCCCATAATGGCTTCTTTGTTTTCATCTTCTGTAAAAGGTTTCTCAAGGATTTCATTCTCAGCTTCTGTAACAAGTTCTTTAGCAGACCAAAACTGATCACCCAAATGAATATTAGGTTTCAGTTCAAAACCAAAAAGGTCTTTGTAAAAATTAGTAGCAACCTCTAACATATCTTTTGTGGAATGAATGGGGCAATCAGGGCCTTCTAACACAGACATATGGTTTTTCCGCCTACGCTGGTTAGCCACAGCGTGAAAATTAGATGTGTTTTTATCACCCTATAATATTTTCCGGTCTCTGGATCTCTGCCACATGGTAGTATTTTTTTTTCATATTTCCTCCAATTCCTTTTTGATTTCATTCATCCTGAGGATATCCTCAGCAGAGACCCTATTTTGCTCAGAAAAAACATCAAGAATATCAAATTCTTGCAGGAGATTCTTCTTTTTTCCTCAAATAGCAGCCTCAAGGTTGATACTCCAACCTTTTAGCTTTTTGTCTGAAGAGTTTAGTTTTAAACTACCATGTTTCATGGAAGAACTATAAGGAGGGGGAGTAGCCCAAACTTGTTTTACCATTTTAGAGAAACCAGGTTGTCCCAACCACCATTTTTCAAATTTGAAAGGTTTGTTCATTTTACTGCTCCCAATTCCAGTGTATAGAAGGAGAGGGGCATGATCACTGCCAATTCTAGGGAGGACACAAAGAATGGTTAAAGAGAAATGACTATCCCAGTCAGTAGTGGAAAACACTCTGTCAATAGTAGCAAAAACATGGTTACCTTGCTTATTCCCCCAGGTATAAACCCTATTAGCCAACTTCATCTCCATGAGCCCCCATTTATTGATCCAATCATTAAATAAGAAAGCCCAGGAGTTGTTAATATTGCCAGATGATTTCTCCTTGGCTTCTCTTATCAAGTTAAAATCACCTCCAAATAGAACAGGATAGGACAACCCATCACACACTTCATGCAATTCAGCTATAAAATCTACCTTGTCAACAGCATAAGTTGTACCATATACTACCACTAGGTGCCAACAAAATCATTTTTCAGAGTAACAACTAGACAATACTTTCTGCACATAACACCAATACACTCAAAAGAGCACATTTTGTCCCGAAATTTTAAACGTGTGTATTATGCTAGACTATGTTTGGCACAAAAATGCTTTGAACTTTTGTTTTGTTTATTTCTTTTATTTCTATTTTGCTGAATTAGTGGTGTGTAGACCCATGTCCCAAAAATCCACATCG